AATATATAAATTCTATTTAATAAAATAAATGCTAAAATGTAATAAAAAATTTAAAAAACACTCAATATTGATTTATGTACTTTTTCCTTTTCAGCCTAGCTACAACTGCACAATACAATACGCAGCACTCATTCCAAAACCAATACAAACAGCATGCATCAAAGAGAAATAATAATAAAGATAACAACATTCATACATACATGCCAAAAATTAAATAACGGTACATTACAAACATACAATTTGTTAAAAAATATTGTTTTTAACTTACATTCCGAGGTGACTTTATCACGTTTTGGACAACCAGATAAGCTATAGAAGGAGTAAAATAAACGAAGAGTTATGTAGTTTTAAGTATAAAGTCAGCGTTGCATTTTTGGTTTAAGTGCACACTGTAGAAATTGCTTTAGAAGACTGATTTGAAAACTATTGGATTTTTTTCAAACTAAAAATAACGTGAAAATGTTTTTAAAACAGTTGTTACTTTTATTTTTTGGTTAAAAGTTATGCTACAGAAGTTGACTGTTGACAACTGACAGCTGACAGCTGAATTTTCGGGCATGTCGTGCCTAATTGCTTTATTAAATATTTTTTATAATTACTGTTAAATAAATATAGCATTTCAGAAAGACAGGGTTGCATATATTTTTTGTTTTAGTTTGTAAATAAAATGTAAAAAAATACTTTTTTGGTACTTAAATTTTTATTATTTGCTTAATTTATTAAGACTTTAAAAATATAGGGTTGCCATATTGTTTGAAAATTATTATTTTTTAGTGAAAAATGCAATTGAATTGCTATTGCTTGCTGAATTTATTGAGCATATTTGAAAGATATGGCAACCCTTCCAACCTAAGATTACTTTTTTGTTTTAAATTTGTTAAATAAATTGTTGATCCATTTACTCCCAATCGAAAAATTGAACAAAGTCCAGTTGGAACTTATAACCTTTCATTGAAACTTGAGGTTTAATAGTTGCCAGTTGACTATTGACAGCTGACAACTGAAATTTTACACCGTAGTGTGCCTAATTGTTATATGAAAATGAGAAAAAAATATATTTTATAATTACTAACAGCTGATGCTAGATATATGAAGCATATTAGACAGATAGGGATGCCATATTGCATCATTTTTTATTTTGGTTTGTAAATAAAAGGTCTAAAAAAATTTATCGGTATGCCTATTGCTTACTTTTTTTTTAATTTATAAATAATTTCTTTATATTTCTTGAATTTATTAAGCAAATTTGAGAGATATGGCAACCGCTCCCACATAAAAATTCATTTTTATTTTTAAATAAATTTTTATAATATTCACTTGCAATTAAAAAATTTAACGAAGTTTATTTGGGACTTACAACCTTTCATAGAGACGTATGGTTTAATAGTTGCTGGTTGACAACTGACAGCTGACAACTGAAATTTTGCACGATATGTTATTTGGAAATGGAAATTTTTTTATAATTGTTACTTTTTGCTAAATATATATAGCTTATTAAAAATATAGGGTTGCCATATTTCTTAATTTCTTTTTTTCCCATTTGTAAATAAATTGTAATTGTTTGCAAAGTTTACTATACATATTACTGAGATAGGTTTGTCATTCTGCTTAAAAACAATAATTTTTTCAATCCGACATTTGAAATTTTTTTTTCAAATCGTTTTTTAGAGTTTATTTTTGTTCAAAATGGAAAATATTTTTCTTTCCAGTATTTAAATTTTTTTCAAACAAGTTTTAAGGGTTTACTTTTTTTAACAAAGTATTTAATGTTAGAAACTTCTCTAAAAATTCCAAAATTGTTTTTAATTGTGGTTTTTGGGATTACAAATTAATTTAAATTTTAAAACAATCATTTTTAAATGTATAATTGTGGTCCCTGTTCTCTTCTTTTTCAAAACTAGCGCTCTCAACAGTGTGAACCCAATATTACTTTACAAAAAAATTGACATGCGTTTTTGTACCTGCGATGGTGTGAGTAAAGCCCCGTGATATGTCCTTGGCCGTTGCAACTTGGAGTGGGGCACTTGGTGCCATCTGCAATAAATGTGGGAGGAACGGTATAACAACTAAAACCAAAAATTAGGCACGAATGCACATAGAAGAGCACAAGAAACTTAATAAATAATTAAAAAAACAAATAATTCAGAAATAATTCACAGAAAGTCTTAGAGCGAAAATTCAGATTAATTAAACAAAAAAATAAATAAAAGAAGTGAAATTAACACGCGTTTGACAACGTTATTAAATATTCTGCATGCTGACTATGAAATATAAAAGAAATATGAGCTGGCTCTTCAAAATTGTATGAGCAATCAAAAGCAATGAAATGAAGCAATGTTTGAGTTTTGAATGTTTTGCAGGATATATGTATATGCATATATAACTTATTATGCATATGTGTGTATTGTTGCTTGTGTATGTGAGTGTGTTAATTTCCCCAGCGCTGTCAGTCAGTCGCTAATTTTTGCTTTTTAATTAATTAAAAGTAAGCAAATGCAGACTTGACAAGTGAAGCAGCGCGCGTAGATCGCAGCTAGCAACACACGCACACACGCAACGGCAGATATGGGGAAACACAAATATACACATACATCTGCACATTCTTAAGAACACTTGCTGTCGCAAGAGAGCATACTCGAAGCGCTTTTTGGCATTTTTCCTAATTTGATGGAAAACAGCTTTGCATTATTTACACGCACACAAGCAAACACACATACACGCACACAAATATATATATAAATCCAAATTTACAAAATAATTTAATAGCGGTAGTGGCGGCATATAGGCAAAAAAAAAAAAAACAACAACAAAAAAGTATCTGTCTGAGACGTGCTTACATTCGCTAATTTCATACAGGTTTTGCTTTGTTCGTATGTGCATGTGTGCATGTATTTGTGCGGGGTGAAAAGGGTGACATTCTCACAGCACAATGTGCTGCGAGTGTGAGGTTAGAAAGAGTTTGTGGAAAATGTTTAGAAAATATTTGTGTCTATTACGTGTGAGGTTAAAGAACACGGCATAATATTGAAATCACACACATACACATACATGTACATATGTGTTCGCTAGCTGCCAGCAGACAACGCATGGTTGACTGCCAGCATATTACTTCTAGTATATGGTGTGTGTTGGTATATGTGCCTGAGGAGTACCTGAGATGCTGCTGCAAATGCTTAACTAATTAGAATTTAATGAAAGTAAGCAAAAATGACAGCGGAAGTAGGCTTGGGGGAGAGAGTTTAGAGTTGATATACTACTTATACACAGAGATATATATACATAACTAGTTATATGTACATACACTATTTACAAAATTGAAGCTATGGGCATTAGTTTTTTATTGAAGCGAGCAACTTTGAGTGTACTTAAATATTTTTATTGAAAAAAGGGGCGGGCAAAGGTTTGTAATATAGCTAAAGGCAAGAGTTGCGAATTATTGACAAAAAATTTTGAGCGCACCCACCGTTTGTATGATTTGTAGAAATAATTTTAAAGGGTGTTTTCTAGCGAGTTTTTAATGGGTTCCACCAGATATCGATTCAGAGGTAAGGTAAGCTTTTCTTATATTAAATAAATTAAAAATAATACTGATTTTTAGCTGTTGAAAGCCAAACCTATTATTATAATGCGGACATTATTTTGGCACAGATTTTTAATATTTATATTATGAACAAATATATATAAAAGCATTTTTTTATAACGAATGGTATTTAACAATAAAAAAAACAAAGCAAAATAATCAAATATAACTTTGATTCGACAATTTTCTGACTGTGCTCCTGAGAGGAGAAATAAAAATTACAAAATTTTAGTATGACAAAGTATAGCCGTAAACATTCAATATTTTTCAAAGATATCTCAATATATAAATAGCGGAAAAAAACAAATCAAATAAAGATTAAAAAATCATAAAAATTTACAAAGTATTTTACGAAAGACAGTCTTTATTCAGATTCCAATTACACAAAAAATAGTGAAAAATTTTAACTTTCCTCAAAAAATATTAAATTTTAGAGAAAAAATACTTTTTTTAAGAAAAAAAAAAAATTAAAACTAAAAACAAAACAAACTTAAAAGGAATTTGTCTTCGAGAAACATATTTCAAAAAATTTTTATTCGAAAGTTTCGATGTTTTAAGTAGCAAATTTGGCAGATCATCAAATAAATTTTATAAACTAAGAAGCACATTTTTTATGGAATAGGATATTAAGTGCTTTTTAAGAAAAATAAAAATTAAAACAAAAATACTAAAAAAAATACCTTTTTTAATAAAATTTTATTTTAAAGAAAAAAAAAGTAAAATTAAAAAAAAAAAAATAGTTTAAAAGGCAATACTTGGTTTTCGAAAATATTTTTAAAATAAATTTTTAGTTAAAAAAAAACTTAATTTAAAAAAGTAGTTTAAAAGACGAAAAATTTTAAAAACCTATTTACAAAAATTGAAACTAAAAACTAAAAGACATCTACATATGTACTTCTTAATCAAAAGTTTCGAAGTTTTAAAGAGCAGAACAATCAGATAAGCAAACAAATTTTGAACAATAAGAAACATACTGTTTTGTAGAAAAAATATTAAAATTTTTCAAGAATAAAAAATATGTAAAATAATGTAATTGAAATTACACAAAAAATAGTGAAGAAAATATTTTTTTATTAAAAAGAAAAAAAATTTTGTAATAATTTAATAATTTGTTCTTAAAAAAAAACTAGTTTAAGAAACATCTACTCTGTAGTTGAAAACCTTAAAAAAATGTAAGAAAAATGCTACAATTACAACAAAAAAAACAACTAGTTTGAAAGACATTTACTTTGTTTTCCAAAAATTCCGAAAACTTTTTTAGAAAAATTTTTTAATTAAAAACGAATAAAAAGACATCTATTTACTCCTTCGAAAGTTCCTAAGCTTTAAGAAGTACAACAATCTGACAATCAAACAAATTTTATAAGCAAGAAATGTTTTTTTTTTTGGCAGAAACTCTTAATTAAACATTGTGTTAAGAAAAATAAATATAGATACATATATGTATAATTTTTAGAGTGGGTCAAAAGAAGTAGAAAATTTTATATTTTTTCTGATTACTATAAAGAAAAATTTAAAAAATGTCTCTATTCCTAGATTTTGTAGGAAACTTAATGATGTACAAAAAAGTTTCAAACGAGTTTTTTTTAAACCTAACCGTTTAAAAGTATTAAAAGCTGAAATTTGATAATTTTAGGCCAATATTATTTCTTTTGAATTTGTAATTCAATGAAAACAAATCATTATTTATTGGAAAACTCCTAGTTTTGTAAATAAATTTACTGCTTCACTAAGACGGTACTTATACATATTTATATATGACATTTAATGTTTGACGATGCATATTTTGTGAACGCTTAACTTAATCGAATATCATTTTTGGAGAGCAGGAAAACGAATTCTTTTTCGAAAAATATCTACTTTCTTAATTATTACTGTGTATTTTAAACATGTGTATGTACTTTTTGAATTTTATTATTATTTATTTATTTAGAAGAGAACTAATTATAAATAATTAACTCACTAAATTAAAGCGCTATCTACTGAGGCCATCTGGTGTTCCTTAAATTTTGTATAATTAATGCCTCGTAAAGCAAAAAATAAACAAAAAAATCGTATAAAAAGAGCGATAGTGCAGAAAAGCAGATGTAAAAAATTCTCTTTTAATAATTTGAAAATAATAATTCGTAATCTAATTCACATATGTTTGTGTGCCGAACAATCTTGTATTATTTAGTATTTAGTACAACTTTCGATAAAAAATATGATATAATCCGTTTAAAATATTATATAATCGATTAGATTAACTTAAAAAGTTTTTGCATACCAAATTTTAAAATGTGCCATATCACATGATCATATTTGTATATCATGGCTTAAATCGTCTTAGCTACTTTACCACCTACATACGCATATGCCACCGCACTATAGGAAATTTCGCTTAAAATGTCAATCAAATAGATATTTTCTCTTTTAATTTATGCTTAACATGCACAACATTTAAAATCGAAACTTTACAAAACAAAAACAAAAATAATATGGAAGCATAAATATAGCTGAAGGCAACGCAGTAGTTACTCATACGACGTGACGCACCGCCTTAGAAAAGCCGCAGCATTGAATTTCATAACCTAGGCAGAGAGCTAAGCTGAGCCTAATAAGCATTGCGCCAGCCTCAACTAATGACTTATTATTTTCATAACGTGCAGTGGTGTGGGTGCTATATAAACACATACATGGAAGGATAAACAAAATCGGCGTAGAAATTATTGAGGCTTGCCTTGCTGAGGCAGCGAGTGCAAAACTATTTAAAAAGTCATTCAAATTATGGCTACGAAAAAGCTAAACTAACACCAAACACATACGCGCACTTTTATACATATAAGCTTACACCTACACACACACACTCTCACACACAGGGCATGTAGCGAAATTCATAAACATGAGAAATTACTTTGAAAATCTACTTCCGCAATTAGTTGTTGTTTCTGGTGTTCTTGCCATTGCTTATGGCGTTGTTCTTGTTGTTGTTGTGCTTAATGTAGCTAGCTTAAGGCTTAATGGCAGCTAAACATTCATGCCTGATAGCATTAATGCCGACATAATGACAAAATAAATATGCGAAAGTGGTTTTTAGTGCGACGTGCGGCACACACACTCCCACACTCCCTCCACCTGCCACAACGAGTACTCGCAACACAATAATAACAAAAAACAAACTTCATAATAATAATTTCTAAAGCGTCTGCTACTCTCAGCCTGAGCTGCTGCCGTCGGTTTTTAGTAAAAAGATGAGTTTTCTAAAATGTTATAGGCACACCAGCAAACTCACACACACACACACACGCGGTGAGATTTTGTAAAGCGCACGTACGTGTCTAATGTGCACTAATGATGGCTCCGTCGCGCTGCCGGTCTTAGCTGTAGTGAAGTAAAGGGTTCGCCCAACAAATTTCGTGCGCTCCGCTACAACTAAACACCGGCGGAGTGCTGAACAATGGCATTAGTAGTCAAGTTTGTCTGACTCCTGTGTTGTAGTAGTGAGTGTGTGTGTAAGGCGAAAGATGCGGTGTCAGCTTAAATGCCAACAAAATGCGCAAATAATAACAATTCTTATGATTGTGATAACAATTTCTATTATTACAGCACTTGAGAGCGTGCGTGTCTCTGAGTGTATGTGTGTGTGTGTGTGCGTACTTGCTATCTTTCTTACATGCACTTGTAATGCTCCTGATGTGAGTGGCTTTGTTTTGTTTTGAGAAAGTAAAAGCGGCAAGCTGAGTTTTGTATTAAGTAATCAAGTTAAAGTAGCTGATATGCGGAGTAAGAATTGTATTTTAAAAAGCTTCGAAGCACTGCGCCACCAGATATGAACGATTTCTGACATTGTAGCTTGGCTTGGCTTTAGATAATTAACTATACCAAATTTCGCGAAGATACCTCTTCAAATAAAAAAAAAAGTTTCCTATATATGGACTTGATTTTAATGGATCCGCCAATGGCGGTTACCAATCAGTGAGCAAAGTCTTATGCATTATTTAGTCACCGACGTGCCGGGCTTCTGCAGTGACGTGTGCAAAATTCCAAATCGTTATTTCAATAACTGAGAGACAATTTCGCCTATATACTGACAGACAGACGGCTATGGCTAAGGTTAAGAAAGGTAAATGCAAAAATCCGCGAATCAAACCACTTTTGAAGATTTTTACAAAACAAAAAACATACAAACAAAAAAATTTAAATAAAGTTTCAATAAAAAAAAAACCAAAAAAAAAAAACTTTTACAGATATACATCAATTGTGTTAAAACAGTACCCGGAAATTTCAAAAAATGTTTTTTGCTAAGTTTGCAGTACGGTGAGTTGAGTTACAGCAGCTGCTTAAGTCTATACACTTCAGTGCGTAGCGATTTTTACAATCGCTAAAAATATCGAACAAAGAATTTATCTCAAATTTTGTATTTCTAACCAAATTTCGTATGCGAAATCGCTGCAAATGTTGGATGATTCAGTTTTATCAAAAACACAAGACTACGAGTTGTACAAAGCCTTCAACCACGGTAGAGCGATCGTTGAAGACATGCCTCGTTCTGAATGACCCTTGACCTCTTCAACTAATGAAAATACTAAACAAGTGATGGATATGGTGCTTGAAAATCGTCCGGCAAATATTAGAGAGGTGACAAGACAGCTCCCTTGCGAACTCGATCTAATAATTGTGGTGGATATTTTGGGTATGAAATGCGTTTTTGCTCGTCTCGTCCAGATAAAGCTGAAGTTTTTTTTAAACAGAGTACCAAAAAAAGGTCCCTTTGGATATGCTTGATAGTGCGAATTCCGATCACAGATTTGTATATGAGACATGTCTTTATGAATTTGACATGCAAACAAGACAACAATCATCGGAATGGAGGGGCAAAAACGAGCCGAAACCAAAGATACCACGCCAAAGCCGCTCGAAAATCTAGGTGACGCTCATTAATTTCTTCAATATTCATGGTTTGGTCTATCATGACCTTTTTACGGAGGGTCAGATGGTCAATATTTGGCTGCACTGAGGCATTTGCGTTATAACATCTGTCAAAAATAGTCAGAATTGTGGAAGAGCAATACATAAATTTTATCTGATGATAATGCACATCGAGATTGTAACCGAATTTAAAGCCAAAAACGAATTGAATACCAACGATTAACCACCGTATTCACCAGATTTGGCTCCGTGTGATTTTTTTTTTGTTTTCCAAACGGAACTTGCCACGCCGTGGAACCCGTTTTCAGTCGATCGGGGAAATAAAATAAAATTCGGTGGAGGAGCTGAAGGCCATCCCAAAAATGTCGTAAATTTCTTTAATTTCTGTTTCTCATATACAGAGTTGCACCACATGGAAACTTTTGCAATATTAAATTTCATAAACTTTGTGTTGATTCAACTATATAAATATGATATACTCCGCAGGATTTCTGATTTAAGAACATTTCTTTTCGAATGCTGTTTGTTTTATTGAACAAAAAGACGTGACTCTAATGTGCACCAGATACTTAGAGATTTTTTAATCATTACGGTTTTAAGAATATACTGTGAGTCAATAAATGATAATACTAATCATTATAGTATACATACATACATTAAAATTATATAGGGGAACCTTAATATTAATTAAGAAAAACTTTTTGCGAAAATGAAAATTTACATTTTTTATATTTTATATTTATTGATGCTGAGAAGGAAAAAAATATGCGATGCCTCAGCTTTTAATTCTAATAAGTATACTGTACTACAGGTTTTTGTCGAGGATGTTTTGGATTTGTGATTAAGCTTATATTCTAGCTAAAGAAGTGATTAAGCTCTGTAGACCATATAACGCAAATATAATATCGTTGGAAAATTGAAGGATTTGAGAAGAAAATATCACAGCTTTGCCGTTTCTGAAAGACCAACGTATCTTCGGTGCAAGTATAAGCAGTTGGGAATACTGATTTTTTAATTGCAAAATTTAATCTAATAAATTTCTACTCGGACTTCAAACAATGTGGAAAATTAAATATATTAACTGACTGATCGATCAAAATATAATTTATGAAAAAAAAAAAATTATTCAAACTCCGTTGCTTGAATTGAAAAAAAAAACTTTCCCAAACAAACGACACATCCAAACAAGTATTGAAAGTTAAATTCTGAGCTTGAATTGAACTAAAATATAAGAAAGAAAACATATTTTATTAAACTGCTTGGCTCCGTGAATCGGTACCTCTCGGCCTGGAAAAAATTAACTGTAAATATATTATATAGGAGTATATACAAATGAGTTCTGCTGAAAAAAGAATACCTCGAGGGAGAGTTTATACTAGCTAAGAAAAAGGTAGTACTGTAAACGCACTTTTGCACGCTAAGCTATTTCTCTCAGTGTATGTATGTGCCTGACTAATGTTGGTGTTTGTTCTGGGTGTGCACAGTGAGTACGAATTGGTGATGGTTTGGAGTTTAAACTCAATGCAACAAGAAGTTAAGCACAAGTATACGCCGATTCAATGCACAAAAATCATACAGGAAAAACATAATCTCAAATGAAATCATAAATTAATATTGAAAACCGAATTATCAATATAAGGAAAATGACTTCAATTGGAACGAAAATGCATACAACAACAAATATAGTAATAAAATAGTAATATTTTGCATAAAAAGATGACAGTTGCGCGCGGCACACTGCGGATCTACTTACCGCCACGATTGATGCTGCCCGGCGAGTAGGTCGGTTGTGGTATGCTAACCGTTGCGCCAACACCGCCGTTACTATTGTTGCTGCCCACAGCTGTGACCGCTGTTACCACGCCCTCACGTGCTATATCCTGCATCACCGATGCCGCACGACTGCCCACACCGGCCGGTTGCAGTATGGTGTAGTGCTTAGTGTCAGCCGCCGTTGCTGGGCCACCAGCTGAGGCAGCGCCCACTACACCAGGCGTGCCAAGCGCTTCATTATGCTTATGCAACTCCACGCCGCCTGCCAGCGCGGGCTTGAGCTCTGTGATTTTGCTATCGGTGGCGCCGATTTGCGAGGCGATATCGAAACCATTGGCGTGTCCGGGCGTTGTCGGTGTAGGACGCGCGGGCGGCAGCATGGACATTGTGTTGGAGTCGGCTAGCGTGTGTGGCTGATAGCTCAGGTATGCAGCCGAAGAGTCATTCATGTTGGTGTAGATGGGGTAATGTGGCGGTGGTGGAAGCGAGGACGTCACTGATGCCATAGCTGTTGCGCCCGGCGGATAGGGTATGAGACCGTTGCGTTTGATATCGTGTGGTGGCTTAAAGGCGGACGCTTGCGAGAAGGCTGTGGTACGTTTACGCTCGTCAAACGTTGTATGTTCGGCGTGCTGTGAATTGATACGCGCCTGATCGTTTTCCTTTTGTCTGTGGAAACGTAAGAGATCAGTTTGAAAATAAGTTTCTTTGTCGGTTGTTAGCGTTTGTGTGCCGTACTTTTGTTTCTCTTCGAAGAGATTCTGAAACGGGGGCGGATTCTCGTCCTGATCCTGCAGACGGTACAGATTGTTGCGCGCTTCCGGTGGCCAACTGCCCGAGAGGCTTTTAAGTGCCGCTTGTGTCTCACGTATGAGCGTCTCGTCGTCCTGGTCATCGGCGGTCGTTTTTGTCGGTGTGGTTGTACTGACCAACGATGCTGGTGTTCTGTCCGGTGAATGTAAGGTGGTGCTTGTAATGTTGTTGTTATTGTTGCTGTTATGCACTGAGTTTTGCAGCATGGCAACGTCGTGCGGCGTTGTGTTTGTTTTATTCATGTTGTTGCTGTTTGTGCTGCTGCTAACAGCGCGCTTCTTCTGTGGCAGCGTTGACAATTTATCATCGCTTTTGTTGTTGTTATTATTGTTATTGGCTGTTTCATCATCGCGGCTGGCGCGCTTTTTACGCTTCACCGCCGTTTCGTGTTCCTCGGTTTTATTGTTGTTGTTGTTGTTATTATTGTTATTGGCTGTTTCATCATCGCGGCTGGCGCGCTTTTTACGCTTCACCGCCGTTTCGTGTTCCTCGGTTTTATTGTTGTTGTTGTTGTTATTATTGTTTTCAGCCAAAGCGGTCTCCTTGGTGAGCGGTCGTTTGGACAATGCCATGACGAAATCGGTACGAATCTAAATACATTTTCGGGTTAAAATTGAATATTTCGACATATTTTGGTATAATTATGTAACATTTAGTATATGCTGTCCTTAAAAAAGAAGCTAAATTATTGTGGGAAAATACTCTGTGCGGTTAAAATATTGTCAGACTAACAATAGAAATATTCAGGGTAGCTTTAGGATTTTTTTTTAAATACAGGTTAATAAGAAAACTATGAAAAAGTTTAATCGAAATCACATAACTCAAAAAAAAGCAATTTTGCATTTAAGTTTCTATAATGGCATATACAATACAACCATATATTGGATTTATTCTGTACACCTTATATATTTAATTATTGTCTAAAATGCCTATGAAATGTATGTATTTAGGTTGAGACCCACGTAGACAGTATTTATGATTTAAACTAACTGCATTATCCTTATCTGTGATATAAAAATATCTGCCAAATATTTATATGAAATTTTTGGTTTATTAAGCTACATGAAAAACTGAAAGAGAACTGCCTGATTTGGATTAAATTAATTTGGTTAATTATTTCTTAAAGTATCTAAACATTTATTTTGAGATATGAGTGAATGCTGAACAGACTTACTTCTGGTACGAAAAATATTGCCATAAACAACTAAGAAAAGCCTAATTTTGGGTGTAAATGTAAATTTTATACTTTAGAAAGGATGATGGTCGAGGAAATTCTCTCAGATGATGGCAAAACTTTATTAAAAAAAAAAACGTAAGAGTTTAACTTAATTGCTTGACAAAAGGGTAAAAGAATAACAATCATACTTGATATTATATAAACTTTCATTATAAGTCGTGGACTTCTTAAAGGAGGATGTAGTCATGTGTAGAAGAGTTCACGAAAGTGTGGAAAGTTCTCTGAGCTCTATTCACTTGGGAGTGGCCAGAAGTAATTATTTTATATAGAACTCAAGCAGCTCACGACATCCGGCCTTAGATCAAGAGTCCTTTGGAAAGCCAAAAAACATCATCTAAGAAAGCTAAATTTAATAATTCGGGTATATGAAGAAAAATCAAGCAATGAAACGGAAATCATTATATGGTAGTAAGGATAATTCAGCATCTTAGCACATTTCCTGTATAAACAGTATGAAAAACTTGAAACGTCACATATATTGTCCAAAATAAAACGATTTAAAATCAGCTAAAAACCCGGAAATTATTATACCGAGTGGATTTGGAACTGTAAATACTTCTTTCACTAAAAAGGTAGGCGTAGGCACTAAAAGCCACATATTTGTTCTCTGGGGACTTGGCAATTTCGACTAATTTTAGACGTCTTAAATACAATCTGTATGCAAAGTTTCATTTCGATAACATCATGACATATCAATTTATTTATTGTAAAGTGAAAGAGTATTCTGAAATTTAAAATGGTGATATATTTTCAATATAGGCGTGCTTGTCCCCATGACTTCGCCCGTTTTCAAAACATAACATAAGAATATGTACAAAATTTGGTTGAATGCGGTTTAGCTGCTTCTGAGATATGTTTACTAATTATATTATTGTGGGCCAAGATCACTTTTTAAAAATGTCTACCCACGAATCTATATATATTCTCGTTAAATTGCTCTGTGCGGGAGTAATCGATTCCGACCAATTGAAGAACTGTTAGATGAAAAAACTTAAAATAATCCATGCCTACATATAACGAGTTTAAAAAAGTCTTTCTACAAGAAATATATTCTAATATATTTAGTAATCAACAGAGGAACTACTAAAAAAAACCCGACTTTTTTAAGGTTTTGGGTTATTATATGAATAGTTATAAGGATTTCTTTAAAATGGCTTATTGATTTTGCACCATTTTTGCATAAAAATATGAAAACCATACAAAATAGTCGAAAAACGTTTTAGCACTTCTATTTCCTTATATTTTTTTACTTTTAAAAACTAGAATTTATCCATTTTTTATGCAAAAGAAGCAGAAGAAGAAACCAATAAACCCGGATTCTGCGTCTAAGGCATATATTAAGTCACTTATATCCAGTTTCATAGTCAATACTTAAATTACAGTTTCATAGTCCAAACAATTACAGTTCATACATAAGTTATGCTTAAGTACTGAAAATGGGAGACGTGAGCAGAGCTAAAGTAACAGCTGATTTTTGTTTTGAATTGATTTGAATTTTCAGTTATTTGTGAAAGGAAGAATAATGAGAAATTTTGTTTTGAGTATGGAATATGGAAGCGCAGTAGGATTGCGATTTTGTCAGTGACTCAGAGTACGATGACCTGTGGAATATTATAATAATGCGACGAACTTTTAATGCAATAATGCATTTCGAAAACGTACGTAATACTTTCATCTATATAATTGATAATAAATTAAGAAAGCTTGAATGGCTAAATTTGAACTATTTGTAAAAAAAAAAACACGAAAGTATGCAATTTGTTTGTCTGTGCGTCTATATTGTTTTTGAACTTAACTCTCTAAAGACTCTGAAAGTCGCTTAATCTCTGCTTAAGACTCTCATATAATTTCAATACGGTAGAAACCTAAATTTCAAAATTTCATGGTATTGCGGAAGTAAGCTCTTCACTGTGAATATGAGTAAGTCGCAACGACAACGGTGTAAGAGATACACACCATCGACGAGTTAATCACATACAACTCAATATATTGCTTATAAGTCTGTGTAATAACTGGAAATAATTATCTAAAAGATTTTAACAAACGCTTTATTTTGTTTTTAGTAATTTTATATTTAAATATTTTTTATTAATATTTGAATGCTTAAAAATTTTGTGCTAAGTAAATAAAGGTGTGTTTAAAGAACTGAAATTGTATGTGAGTTATGCAAAATATTCTTTTTTGAAACTTTTTATTTTTTCAACACAAAAAAATTTTAAAATTTATGTATAAATTGGATATATAGTATATATTTTTGATTCTTGTTGCATTGAATTTTCAAGCATCAGCTGGGATTGCTTTAAATTTTTTATATTTGCGTTGTATTAAAGGCTGGTGAGCAATAAGAGGATTGGAAAAGTATGTAAAAATATGCAGGGATGTTTGCCTTAATAAAATTCAAGTTGCTTTACCTAATGCCGTTTAGTGTTGAACAGAGCTGCGTAGCGAAAACTTTGTTGCGTTAAAATTGGTGTTGGATCACATACACAGCATTTTAAAATTTTTTTTTGGAAAATTTTTGAATTTTTCTTGAATATTTTTGAAATTTTGTTTAAATATTTTTGTAATTATTTTAGATAACTTTTAATATTTTCGAAATTTTTTTGAGTATTTTTGAAAATTTGTGGATTTTTTTTCTTTTCTTGAGTATTTTGAAGTTTTTTTGGAATATTATTGAAAATGTTTAATATTTTTGAAACATTTTTTTTTGGTTGTTATTGAATTTTTTTAATATTTTCGAAAATTTCTCGTTTTATTTGTTGATATTTCTATTTTCAAAATATTTTGTGCACAAACACTGCACTTAATTTTTGAGTTTTTTTTTGGTTTTTGTTAAACAAGTTACACTTTTAGGCGCACAGTATTTTATGTAAAATTATTTTTTTGAAAACTATGCCGTACCGTTTTGTTTAAAAACTATGCCGCCGCCAAGTTTACGCGCAATAGCGGTGAAGACAACGGAAAAGGCTGGCAACGCACAACACAAACTTTGTTTGGTTGAACTTTAAAAAGTTGGCTGCAAAGTTTTCCAAGTATACGGAGTGCAAGACACACGTCGACGCGGTCGAAACTTTGCCCAAACTCACCGAACGACCGAACGGAAAGTTTTTCGCGCCGCAACGCAAAATTACGCGCTCCGCTTTTCACTTTTTAATCAACTTTTTTTCGCCGGTGTTCGCGACGCTTATCATTGAACTACTTAGCCGCCGAACAATTATATGAGCGTAACGGTTTTTTAGTGCCTACTTCCGGTTCGAATGCCAACGCACTGGCACATGCATACCAATGCACAGCTGGCTGGCTGCGAATTTTTTTATTTTTCGCGAATTTTTACCACACGCGACTTTGAGGTCACCAAAGTTTTTATGATAATATCGGCGTTGCGTTTGTGCTTGTTGTTATTGTTTTTCTTGTGTGCTTGTCTTCGACTTAAGTTTGTTTTATAACTTCATGGTTTATTATTATTTGCTAACGGTACTTTCTTTTTAGCGAACTCCGCAGACTGTCTAGCGCTATTCATAAAGACACTGGCTTTGTAATAAATTTTTTGATGGCAAAACTTTGCATTTACCGTTAGTGTGGGTACAATACGCGCCGCAAACGACCGACTGAAGAATGCGTTTCGGGCGAAAGTCAATTGGAGTGCCTGCCGTATACGCCAGCTACTGTTGCACGCTGCTGGGCAGTCGGAAACGCATACGCACACATAAACTAATACACTAACACAAATGCACACATATATGTAAGTATGTATGTATGGGAATGTCCACTTGTGTGTGTTTGTGTGTGTTTTTATTGCAGTTTTCAGCTTTTAACTTTCAGCTCACAATTTCAATTTCAGTTCAGTTCAGAGTTTAGAAAATTTCACCGCGAAGGAAACTCCAAAAGCGCGCGCGTCTCTACCTGTTCTAAGTTCGCAGCTAACTGGCATCAAACTACCCGAGCAGAGTTTTCCAAAGTTGTCGAACTTTG